CTAATCTTGTCATGTGTCAAAAATCTATAATTCTTGAAGAAGTAAAAGATTATGTAATCCATTCAATATTCGATGAACTACAAGATTAAAACTTGTTCAACTATTTAACCTTAAAAGGTAGCATAAATTCAATCATTAAAAGATTTAAAAATATTAGAGAAAATATTAAAGAAATAACAAAAATAAGTTCAAACAAAATAAGGCTATTAATGCAAGTGGTAGATGCAACGACTTCGAATGCCCCATGCTCCTGATTTAATCAAGTTCTGGATCTTTAGCTTCAATGCCCCACAGTTTTCAGCAGAATGTCTGGAGCTTCCTATGTGGTAACTGCACACGGCATTAACATCATAGACCTCAGGATATGGGGATTATTTTCTCGGATCATCCTGGAAGGTTTAGCCTAACGACCAGCTGAATAGACTTCCACTGTACTGATTTCAGATTATTCCTTTAATTGTTGGAATCTTGCTTCTATTATTAATGTAGTGTTACATGAACGGGACCACTACCATCAAATCCTCCATGAAATAATTCCATGTTTTCATGAATAATGCATGTGAAAATGCTTAAAAAATGAAATGTATATGCAAAATGCAAAGATACAAATGCATATGCAAAAAGATTGATCCCAACGATGAATATTGTAGAATAATTTTCACCGGAGATAAAAGCCTTCACATTACAAGACAATCCATTTTACAAACATGCTTTCGCTTAGATGTTGAGTCTAAAGTGGATCAATACTGCCCCGACGGTGCTAAAGTTAATGCGTCGCTCCTTGATGACTAGCGATGAAATGATCGTAGATAAGACTCTACTTCTGGATTACTCCTTGGATCAGTGGATCGTCATTTCAATCTCGAATGCTACATGATCTTCGAGCAAGTCTCATTCTTGTACTTTGAACTTCTTTTAGCCCTCGGTACATGTTTGTGTATACGACTGCTTGATTGAAAACTTTTATCTATTCTTGTGAAAATTTTCTCATAAATATCCCCTTGCGGATCAAGACTTTCGCATTATGTTATGTTGATGAAATGCAATGTAAAAATTATATAAAATGATACAAATTGTTGAACTATATTTTGATATAACAATTTAAGGTAAAATGTTTTGGACTTGAATTGAATTTATTCAAAGTTTTTCAAAAATAATTCAAAGTCCTTAAAACTTGGAATTGAGCATAAAACAATTTTCTGGACAAGTTGTACCGATACTGTTCTTACAGTGTCGATACCAATTGAACAATACCGATACTATTCATATGGTACCGATACCAAAGGTAAGGGAAGTATCGATACTCAATATGTAGTACCGATACTACCAACATTGCTCAAATTCCAGAATGCAAAAATAGTACCGATACCCAAAGTGGTTCCGATACTCCCTTTACGAGTATCGATACCCTCTATTCTGGCAACTGTATTTTGGACGAAAATTGATCCCCAACGGCTCCAAAACACCTCCAACGGCTAGAAACGACCACAACAACATTCCAACATATAAATACAAGTTGAGGACACTTGAAGAAGGGTTAGAACACCTATCAAAGCATTCAAACACAAAAGAAGATCTTTTCACTCATTATTCCAATTCTCTTATAAATATTTTGTTATTGTGAGCTAAATTATTTGTAAACACCTTCCTTTTTAGAGGTTTTATTGTTTACATTTCTTTTCCTTGTAAATGGTTTTTGTTTCTATCTTAGCCAATTGAAAAGATAGGGAGTTGTAAAAGTTATCTCTTTGTCCTTGAAAAAAAGTAAAATTAGTGAATTTGTTAGAAAATCCTTAGTGCGGAGCTAAGTTAGTGGATGTAGACTTGGTTGAGAAGTCAAACCACTTTAAATCCTTGTGCCAATTCTTTATATCTTTTGCTCTCCATAATCTCTAAACACTTTTTAATCAAATAACTCTTGCACTTTTTCGGTTGTCAATTGAGCCTCTTCATAAATCCCAACAATTGGTATCAGAGCTTGACTCATTAGAAGGTTTAACCACCTTAAGATGATCCTCAAAGAAGCTCTACCAATTCCTGATGCAACCAACAAAAAGATGGCTTCCATCTTCGGCTATTTCCTCATGGAAGACTTCTAACCGATCAATACTCCATATTTCAATGGAGCAAACTGCCGTCTTTGAAAGGAAGTAATGAAGTTATTTATCCAATCCAATGATCTTGATGCATGGGAGATGATCGAGAAAGGAAACTCATCTCTAACGAAGAAGACAAAGAAGTGGAGTGATCAAGAACGGAAGAAATCTCAACTTAATGCCAAGGTCATGCACATGTTGTTTTGTGCATTTAGTCCCGAAGTAAATGAAGGAGTTTCTTCTTGTTCAAGTGCCAAGGAGCTTTGGAATAAGCTCAAAAAGTTTCATGGAAACAAGAAAGAAGAACCAACAAATGTGGTGTCCTTAATGGCTCGTGAAGAGCCCGAGGTATCTCCGAACTCAAATGATCTAAATTCACATTCTTTGATGAGTTACAAGATGCTTATAATGAGTTGCATTTGGATTTTGAGACCATCAATTCCAAATATAAGAAATTAATTTCAAAATTTAAAGTTGAAAATGATTTGATTTTGAAAGCCAAAATTGATTTTGAAAATCAAAATGAAATTTTGAAAAATGATTTAGAGTTTTCAAAAGTCAAAATCAATAATTTAGAAAAAGAAAATTTTGATTTGAAAGTTAAGCTTGAGAGCTTAACAAAAGAAAAAGAATTAATTTCTCAAAACAACTCATTATGTTTAAAAATGGCAAAATGCTCACATTGTCATTTTTATGGTCATTTGAAACATACTTGTCCTATAAAGAAAAGAAAATCTTTTAAAATTAGACAAGTATGGGTTCCTAAGGGAACAAGGGGCATGTAAACTAACGTTCAAAGCAATTTGGATACCAAAATAAAAATAAATGTCCCTTGTAGGTGTGTGGGTGCAATGGTGATGAAAATGAAGAAATTGAGATGCTCTAGCCATACTTGAAAATGAATGAGTAACCTCTAAGCTTAATGCTTTTGATTTTGATTATTTGATTGCTCATTTAGCTTTAAGCATGCATGAGTTTTAATCTTAAATGGCTATGTTTTGTTTTACATCTCATGTATCTTGAAAAAGTTTTATGATGAACATTTTAAAATTTTTAATGATATTTCATAATTTTTAGTTCATCATAATGATTTTTTGTCAAAATTGATTTTCAATGCAAATGATATCTCTCTAACAATTGATATCAACTTTTCAAATGCTTTATTTTTTCAAATTTTAAATTTTTGACCTAAATTTAAATGTTTATGCATGTGTTTTAAATGTTTAAAGATATCTCTTTAACAATTGATATCAAATTCTTCAAATGCATAACATTTTTAAAGCTTTATACACATGTACTTAATTTCAATTATTGGTATTGCATAAAGTATTTTAGACTTGGATATATTGAATTTCATGTGTTACTAACATGTTTGTTACTATTTTTTGAAATTCAATTTTGTTTAAGTGTCAAGATTTTAAAACTAATTTTTGTTTGGAATGCACTTTTTGAGGGGGAGCTTTGATTTTTCAATGTCAAATTTATCACTTACTCTTGAAAGTTATTTTAGAACTTTAAAGTTGAATTCTTTTTTATTTAACAAAAAGGGAAAGGAGTATGGTTTGAAAAAAATTCAATTTCTTAATGAAAAAGAGGGAGCTAAACATTTTCACATATTTTCCAACAATTGGTATCTTTTTTATTAAACATTCTATTAAGGGGGAGTTTAGCCAAAAACAAATTTGTAAATGTTTTGTTATATCAAAAAGTGAGAGATTGTTGAACTATATTTTGATATAACAATTTAAGGCAAAGTGTTTTTGGACTTGAATTGAATTTATTCTAAGTTTTTCAAAAATAATTCAAAGTCCTTAATGTCGAAACGGTTTTTTCCTTAAAAGTGAGATTTAAAAGCCACACCATTTTTAATTATCTCTTTTGGTTAATTTTTAATAATCAATTCCTACTCCAATTGAAATAAAGAAATATTATAATTCCATTATAATATTCAAATGCACCAAAATAGATTAAATTAAAATTACCAAGCCTTTTAGAAAGATGAAGAATATTCAATTATTTAAATATATCGAGACCAGATCTTAGATAAGTTCTAACAATCTTTTTTCGAAAAATTTAAATAACCGAACATTTCTTTTTCTTTCGTTCCATAATTTTAAATGACAAACCAATTTTTTAGGTGTCACTGATGAGATACACTTTTAATTTAAAATCGTCAAAAGCAAATCTCTAATAAGTTAAGACAATCCAATCAAAACAATTTTAAATGAAAAGGTATTAATCCAATTATGTAATGATGTCGAGTTATGCACGTGAGGATATCATACAAATCATACAAAAATGATGCCATGCAATTTACTAATGAATTATTTGCATACATATGTAAACATATCACTATGTGAAATAAATATAAACAATTAATTTAAGAAAACAAACTTAACAATGGACTAAATTAAAATAAAATGAAAATTAAACATATAAATCAAGAGTTAAAACCAGGATTAAAATAAAAAACGCATAAATATGAAGAACTTAAACATAAATAACCCAAAAATAATTAAAACCTAAATCTGAAAAATAACGAAATCGAGACAAACAAAAAAGGCCAAATTCAAAAACTAACCCCTCAGGTGACTAATTTGCAAAAAGACGCTTAAGTTTAGGGGAGTAGAACCTAATTTACCCTTCGACTTCAGTGACTAAAAGAACAATTAACCCAAAAGCTTTACTATATATACTAAATATAAGTTTAAACTAACCATAATCGCTAATTACATCCAACAACTGCTCCTCATCCTTTCCTAGAAACTCTCTCACTCTCCATCCCATGCGGCGGCGCTCCCCCACAACAAACAGAACAGCTAATTAGGCCGTCGAAAATATGGTAGTTTCCCTTTTTCTTTTTTTAGATTAATTAAGTTGATAAACTTGATTTGGGTTACCTGACTAACAAGCCGCCGAAGATGGCCTTGATTGGAGGGCTTGTGTCCCAACTTTAGACGACAATGCAGCGGCAGTGGTGCCGGTGGTGGCAGCTACAGTCATTTTTGTGGAACCCTTGTCAAGGGCAGCTGTTGTAGTTATAGGCACACTCTCACACCGAGGACACATTGTAAGGGTCGACGCCGGTAGAGGCTCACAACTGTGAGGTGATATCACTGTCGGCGATGCTACTTTCATCTCCCGGAGCTCCTCCACTTCCCATTGAAGCCTTCGGTTTTGTTCAGTCAGCAATCCGAACCATCTCTTCAAGTACTCATATTCCATCTCACTTTGCCTCAACTTGCTCCTCGGTCAATTCATATTGCTCATTGAAGAAAATCGGGTATAACCCCTATTACATTGCTTTTTTGAGAGAGGGAAGAAAAATAAAATAAAAGGTTTATCTCCCCTTTTTAGAATAGTTGCTCTCTGTCCAAAAAATGAAAGGGGGAACCCTCTGTTTTTTTCTTGAATATTCTCTGAAGAAGAACCCTATTTTCCTCTTTTCTCATTTTATTTCAAATGAATGCCAAAATATGGTAAAATAAATCAAATACCTTTTGTTTAATTACTGCTTAGTACTTTCGAATGGAAGAAAAACATGCTTGATTCTTGATTTCTAAAAAAAATGATGGATAAGGCTTCGCTCCAATAATGAAACCCTATCTTGAAGGTAAATGATCTTTCTTTCTACTCTTTGCATTCTGGTTTTATCACTGTACTTTGAATGGGTCAATCGAAATATCGAAATTCTTTGTATTGCTTTGTTTTCTTATTAAAAACAGAAAAGTAAAAAATGCTTTTCATTCGAAAATGGGAGAAGAATCCCTTGAAGTGCTTGATGTTTTCTTTGTGTATTGCTTTGAAAAAGGTTCCCCTTTACATAAATCATTCCTTCCCCCTGGTTTTTTCGATGATGAATGCCCCCTCCAAGACTCTCCTACATTTCCCTCTCTGCTATCACTAAAATCTCTCCTCGAAAAAATGGTCTCCTCTCCCTTTTTTATCGCTAAATGCTCTCTCTTTACAAATTGTTTCATTCAGTTTTCATAACCCCACGTTGAGATGAATTCCTCCTCTCTTTGCTGATAGTTCCCCCTTGTTGAATGGTGTTCTGTAATCCCCATTTTCTCCCTCCATAATCATTTTTGTTTGTAGCCCCTTAGTACAGGTCACCAATCTGTTATTTTGTTTGTGAATAAATAAGCTCGATGGGACCAGTGGACATGTCTCCGATGGTCAGCTGAGAAAGCCATTCATATGGCTACCTTGCTGGATGAAGAGAATCTGCTGAAGGCCCTTATAATGTATTGGGCTGCTGTACTTCTAGTTGATTTGGGCTCCCACTGATTGAGCACTTTGATTTGGGCCTGTAATCCAAATTTTTATCTTGTACTGGATCTGAAAAATAAAATAAAAAAATTAAATAATTATTTTATACTCTATATATATTTAAATGACTAATATAAGAAAAAATGTCATTATATATATGTAAAACTCCAACGAAAACCTCGAACAAAAACGATCATCTACACTTAAAACTTTGAATTGAGCACAAAACAATTTTCTGGACAAGTAGTATCGATATTGTTCTTACAATATCGATACCAATTGAACAGTACTGATACTGTTCATATGGTATTGATACCAAAGGTAAGGGAAGTATCGTACTCACTAGGTAGTACCGATACTACCATCTTTACTCAAATTTCAAAATGCAAAAATAGTACATATACCCAAAGGGGTACCGATACTACTCTATATAGTAGTATCGATACCATCAGGCCCCAACGGCTAGTTGATTTAAATATAACAAAGGTAGTATCGATACTCCCTTTAGGAGTATCGATACCCTTTGTTCTGAGCAACTTTATTTTGCACGAAAATTGATCCTAACAGTTCCAAAACACCTCCAATAGCTAGAAATGGTCACAACAACATTCTAACATATAAATACAAGTTGAGGACACTTGAAGAAGGGTTAGAACACCTATATAAGCATTCAAACCCAAGAGAATAGCTTTTCACTCTTTATTCCAATTCTTTTGTAAATATTTTGTTCTTATGAGCTAAATTATTTGTAAACACATTCTTTTTTAGAGGTTTTCTTGTTTACATTTCTTTTCCTTGTAAAAGGCTTTTGGTTCTATCTTAGCCAATTGAAAAGATAAGTAGTTGTAAAGGTTATCTCTTTGTCCTTGAAAAAGAAAGAACAAAATAGTAAATTTGTTATAAAATCCTTAGTAAGGAGCTAAGGTAGTGGATGTAAACTTAGTTGAGAAGTTGAACCACTTTAAATCCTTGTGCCAATTCTTTATATATTTTGCTCTCCTTACTCACAAAACACTTTTTAATCAAATAACCCCTTTTGCACTTTTTCGGTTGTCAATTGAGCATCTTCATAAATCCCAACACAAATAAAAGAAAAGAAATAAGTTAGTACAGGAAAGATAATTGATATAGATAAAAAAGTTATTCAGAGATGAATATAACACCTACCCCGACATGATATCTACCCAAACATACTTTTATTAAATAACATTCCTACCCGGACATGTTTTATACTAAAAAATAATTATTTTTTGATCCTAATCGCATGGTATCTAGTTCACATGCTTTTATTCGAAAAGAATAAATATATTCTACAAACTTAAACCAAAAAGTAAAGGTTTAGAGTTGTTCCTCCTTCGTGTACACCTATTTTGGGCACCTATTGACGAACAGAGGTTCAATATAACTATACTTAGGGTGATCGTTCTACGGTTCACTATATGCATGGTTTCGGCTATATGAGGAAAATGTACTCGAATTGTCCTTGATGTTGGTGCCCCCTTGGGCTGCCAAACCCTCGATCATCACCCATTATAGGTTTCGAACGGAACGAGTTAAATTCGAGGGGATTCACTACCTTATACCCATACGAGGAATAAATCCCTATGAAGGTATAAGGTATGTATCATATGGGTTATTTGCTAAAACTCATACGAAAAATAAATTCTTACGAGAGTAAAGCATTCACCCCGACTTATTTGGAACGAAGCTCGGATCTAGAGGTTATGTTATGCAAATGCACGTGATATGTGTGAGGAGGAACACACAAACCTTTGACTCACACAGAAACAAAAAAACTTGACAGAAATCATGACAAAGCTGAAAACATAAATTAAAACATTAGTGAGATAAAAATACATAAATTAAAATTTTAAATAAATGGATCATAAGCTAACTCTATACTCAAACTCATAATTTCCACTACAACGACAATGTATAAGCGACTTACAGCCTGACTCTCTATAAAAAGGTCTCCAGTGGAGTCGCTAAACTATCATAACCATTTTTTTAAAACAATTAAGTTTTTAAAAAATAATTATGACTTTTATTTAGAAAAATTGACGATTTTGAATTGGTTTGAATCAAATAGAATATGAGTCACCATCAACCTTTGGGCTAGGTAGGTCGAATACCTAAAAAAGTCTTTTAAAACAATTTTAAGAAAAATCGTTTTGTAAGAGAAAAATTGGTCTGCGTTATCCAAAAATTCATTTTAAGGGTTCTAAAGTCGATTACGTGTGAGGAATGATAAGCACCCACACCCAAAAATGGGTACTTAGTCGCTTATATATTGTCACGGTAATGGAAATTATAAATCGAATATAAAGAAAAAATATGATCCATTTATTAAAGTTTAATCAATTTGCTTCGAATTATATTTAGGGAAAATCCTTTAATTTGAAAAGAAACATCGAGATTTGCTCATCCTCCGACAGGATGACTATCTCTTCTATTTCTTATTTAAAAAGAATATTCCCTCCTTGAAAAAAACGTGAATCGAATATAAATTGAATATCGACATATGCATAAAATAAAATATTAAAAAAACATGCATTGCATAATTTGAATTAGAAATAAAAATTTAATTAGTAAAATAAATTCGATTTATTTCAAGTTCACATTTTCGTTCGAATGTCGTATCAAATCGCACTACTTCGACCAAACAATGCTTTCCACGCCCATTCTACAAATAAATGTTCTTGAACATATTACAGTAAAAAAGTGTTAAAAATGAGTGAAACAAACGTTTTGTACAATCGTTCGTAACCAATTCCCAGGAGCCAAGAATATATACATACATAAATAATACGAATAAATATATAAATTCATACATGGTAAAAATGAAAGGAAATAAAATCTAACTAAGCAAAAACTAAATTATAGAAGTAAAATAAACAAATAATAAAACACAATAATTAAACGAATAAAATTAAGGTACTGGAAAATAAAGAGACAAAAATAAACTATTAGAACATTAAAGAAAATAAAATGTAAATATTGAAATTAAATAAAGAAAATAAAAAACATAAATTTAAAAGTGCATAAAATTAAATAGCACAAATAAAATGCAATAAAAATAAAATGTTAATATCGAATTTTATTATGTATCCCGTACCGTAAATGATGTGAGTCATATCCCGGGGCAGATTGTCGCAAGGTCGTACATGGTTCGAACATGAAATAAAACAAATAAATAAATAAAAGGTTAACAATTAGTAATTAGCGGTTAAAAAGGTTAGTTGTTAGAAAAGTTAGCGGTTAGCAGAGTTCAAATCATAATAATACGGATTATACCCCGAATTAGGTCACCACAAGGCCGAATCAAATATTAGAAATAATAAATAAATAAATAACACTGATTAAAGCGCAATAAAATAAAAATCAGTAATTAGTATAGTCTGAACCATAATAATACGGATCATACCCTGAATCGAGTCACCACAAGGCCGAATCGAATATTAGAAACAATAAATAAATAAATAAAAATGGTTAATAATGCGGATCATACCACAGATCTGGTCACCACAAGGTCGAATCGAATAATAGAAACAATAAATAAATAAACAATTGTTAGAATGTAATAAAATAAAATTTAGTAGTTAACATAGTTCAAACTATAATAATGCAGATTATACCCCAGATCTGGTCACCACAAGGTCAAATCGAATAATAGAAACAATAAATAAATAAATAATGGTTATAATGTAATAAAATAAAAGTCAGTAGTTAATATGCAATAAAATAAAAGTTAGTAGTTAGAAATAAATAACATAGCAGAATAGTGACCAAATTAAAAGTTAATAAAATTTACATGCATATTCGAAATAAATAAAATATGAGTGACTGTAGTGACAAAGGACTAAAATACAGAGGGCTTAAAGGTGATTTCCCCCGGATTGACCAAAGTGTAAAACAAACAAAAGTTGGGAGCACCTGTGGGTGATTTACCCATT